GAGAGAGAGAGAGAATGGATGTGTGTGTGTGTGTTGTTTGACTCAGCCGGTCATGTGACCGCAGTCGTGTCACGTGACGCAGCATCAGCTGACCTCAGCCGTTTGTTGACAAGGAAGTTCCGCATACATTACTTTTTTATTTAATGCTCAAAAATCAAAAACGGTATACAAAAACTAATACAACCATCAACATAAAATAACAGACGTGAAAAAATAATATAGTAAATACTATAGTGTTTTTGAACCATACAAAGTACTTGAATTAATTTGTTGTGGTAATATAAACAAATTACTTTACCCAATACTGTACTAAGTTTTCTAGAACTATAGGGTGTATTATACTACAATACACTACAGTGTACTGTAGTAAAACTAAAGTATACTACAGTATTTATTACAGTTAATACAGTGTGCTGTAGCATCGATTAACAAAGTGTTGTAAATACTATAATATATACAGTATAATGCACTTTACTGTAGTATGACTCAAAAACACTATAGTATTTACTACATGTGGGACAACAAAATAAAAGCAAATAATGAATAAAAAAGGGTGTTTAATACATTGCACACTGAAAAAAAAAAACAATATTGAGACTTGCATGTAATTAAAGATAGGAAAAGAGTTACAAAAAGCTTTTTAGCTTTGAAAGTTAAGTTCTTAGACTACAGAGTCATCACAAAACACTTTTGAATGTTTTCATGTAATGATTCGCAGGATAGAACTTATGCATTATAATGTAAGAAATCTCCTTGACTTTGTTAGTTAATAAGTATGAGAAAGCATCCACAATTTTTCCAGCGTGCATTATTCCAATAAGAAGATGGCGGAGTAATAATATTATGTACGCATACATTGTGCAAGTCACCGTTATTTATACAGCGCTTTTAACAATACAGATTGTGTCAAAGCAGCTTTACAGGATTAAATAAGAAAATAGTGTGTCAATAATGCAAAAACTTGTGTGCAAAACTTGATAAACTGCTTAGACTATGTCTCGAAAGTTAGTCATCTAGGCTTTTTCTCTTTCAGACTGGTCATAACATTTTAAAACCAGTTACATAAAAATGTAGGTTGGTCTAATTTGCATCCGCAAAGGAAGACTGATTACCATTCTGCTAGTTAATCAAACTAACTGTGTTTTTATTAAACTTTTCATAAACATAACAATATACACATAGCATTTACTTAAAAGATTATCTCTAAAAAAATTAATAATAAAAAATGGATCAAGCAAAGACAGCTTAAATAATAAAAATGAATAAAGAAAAAATAAATACAAATACAATAACTAAAAAAAAGCCCCTGACAACATGAATCAAATATGAATCAAACTAGTAATAGAGGCTAAGTTTATGCAACTGTCCCTTGTTTTTACTTAGTTAGATGGTTTAAGCAAAACTGTAGTGTTTGTACCATAGACTGTATAATTTTTTGAACCAGGCTGTAAACGTTTTTTTCTGCTGTAAAGTTGGGCATTTTAACATGGGGAGTCTATGGGATTGTCTCCCTTTTGCAGCCAGCCTCTAGCAGCCAGTCGATGAATTACAGTTTAAGTCACTTCCGTGTTGGCTTCACGAGAGAGCGGGAGGTTGGCGCTTGGTTTTTACAAGTAAGGTCAAATAGACGATTAAAGCCTGTAATAGGCCTATTATTAATATGTGGTAATTGATCGATACTGTGTGTCACTTTTTCCCATGTATTTGTTTTTATTGTAGCTCTAACTGAATAATTTTATTATTTGCTTATTCTTATTTTATTGTTTGCATCAATCATTCCATGTAACATTGATAAAAATATTATCCATTGTGATGTTAGAAACTAAGCTTTTCGGAACTTCGAATCAACTGAATCAATTGCAAAACTATTCAGTATTTCGAAGTGTGTTTCACGCGTAAAAAGTGCATGTTGGCGACACCAGCTGCAACAGAACAAATCAAATGTACAGTAATAACAAATTGTAAATGTTTTACAAGCGTAACCTATTAAATGTAATCTACAAATTATTAAATACTATTAAAATGAAGAATAAGCGCTCTTGATACGCGCTCTGAATCAATTCGAAACAAAAGAGTCATAAAGTTTCGAAGCTTCATGCAGCAGTGTTTCGAAAGGGTCCATGAAAATTAATATAATGTAATTACTGGTGACATGCTAGTGGTGTTGTGAACTGAAATAAAACTGGTCTTTGATTTAATTATGATGTTTAAAAAATAAATTTAAAGGGTTAATTTGTTTGAACGTTACAGTAAGAAACCCAAAACGTCCTAAGATTCAGTGGAGCGCAGTAGCTAAGTCATTTTTACTTCGTTACTGTACTTAAGTGCAATTTTCAAGTAACTGTACTTTACTGGAGTATTTTTATTTTGGTACTTTTACTTTTACTTCACCACATTCCAAATCATAACACATTTCATAAAAGCATATCGTTACTCATTATTTTGAACTGGAGAAATCGTCACGCATAGCAGTGTTCATTTCGTGAACGAGCCGATTCCTTTAAATTAACCTGTTAAATCGGTTCGCTAATCGCACTAAACGATTCATCCGCGAATGGGATTGAGCGGATTGCAGCTGCGAGAGCGAGTCTAGTCTCCAGTATGCATTTTCAAATCAGAGTTTGCAATGTTGCGATTCATGTGGAGCGGGCTGGTTTAGTTCATGACTCTTTATTGAAGAATATGGCGAAAATGAACAATGCTCTTGAAGGCAGCAATAAAGGCGGCATATGAGGAAAACGGACGGGTTTGAAACATTGACCTATTTTCACAGGGAAAACAGAGAAAAGCAATATGAAATCAGAGCAGAAGTGATTGAGTACTGCTCTGTGAGGGATGTAGTTCAGAATCTCTCACGAATCCGGATTTCCACAGGAAACATCTTCATGTCCATCATTTGGACGAGAGTCACAGGAGAGGCGTCACGCCATGGTCTCTTTCCCCGGGAGCCTCCTGTCGTTAAAGGTATGCATGTTAATCACCTCCTCTGTTTTGACGATGGCGGGCGGCTGAGGTTTCTGTTTCCGCCGTCGCTGGCATTTCAGAGACACCCTGAGCTCCTCCAGCATCACGCTGCAGAACGAGCGCTGTGCACAGAAGAGCAAATCACAGACATGTGTTGATTTCGTTTCAGTCCTAGTCTTTTCTAATTTATACAAATACATACGTCTGCTTGAAAACCAGGCCCTGTCAGTGGCATAAATGTCCAGACAAAATTGTAATGAAGCTCAAAAGAACTTATTCTTCTTTAAAAATGTTTAGGTTTATTTGGCTGCTGTCACTTTAAGACCTAATGTACTATAGTATTTGTCCGATAAAGACTTGAAAGAGCGATTGATACAGCAGGTTTATTTGGCTGCTGTCACTTTAAGACCTAATATCACGCTCCCTAAGGTCGCAAAACTCTGGACTTTTGGTAGTACCTAGGATAGCAAAGTCCACTAAAGGAGGTAGAGCTTTTTCGCATTTGGCTCCCAAACTCTGGAATAGCCTTCCTGATAACGTTGCAAGTTCTGCGGCTAAATGTGGCTAAAGTTTACAGTCTCATGAGAGTGGCTTGTTGCCCCACTGAAGCTAGAGGCGGGGTGAACACAGCTCATTAACATTTAAAGGAACATGCACCGAAACAGCTCGCTGTGAACAGAGCTGTTTTTGACAGGGTAAAAATGGTGTTGTTTTACACTACAATTGAGAAGTTTTAACCAAAGTATGTTATAGACTTTTCATTAAGACCCTAAAGAATCATATAAACTTGTGGAAAATGGGCATCCGATGACCCCTTTAAACAAATAAATTTTGCTTGGTTGAAACAGCAGCTACGCTAATTATGTCTCTATTTGGTTCTCTGTTTTTACCACGGGATTGACAGCATTCATTGGCTGCTGTCACTTTAAGACCTACTGTACTATAGTATTTGTCCGATAAAGATGTGAAAGAGCAACTGATACAGCAGGTTTATTCGGCTGCTGACACTTTAAGACCTACTGTACTGTAGTATTTGTCTGATAAAGACGTGAAAAAGCGACTGATACAGCAGGTTTATTAGGCTGCTGTCACTTTAAGACCTACTGTACTATAGTATTTGTCTGATAAAGATGTGAAAGAGCGACTGATACAGCAGATTTATTCGGCTGCTGACACTTTAAGACCTACTGTACAATAGTATTTGTCCAATAAAAGCGTGAAAGAGCGACTGATACAGCAGGTTTATTCGGCTGCTGTTACTTTAAGACCTATTGTACTATAGTATTTGTCCGATAAAGATGTGAAAGAGAGACATGATTCGGTCAGAGCGAGTCTAGTCTCCAGTTAACAACTCACTGATTCAAATGATCCGGTCAGAGCGAGTCTCCAGTTAACAATTCACTGAATTCACAAGTCTGACTCAAAATGAGCCAAAAATGTGAAATCACATTTAGGTCATGAGTGTCCATTGTTTGGGAAAGCTGCTGTTTAAGTGACTGTATGAAATGCTTGAATGTAAAAATGTCCATATTTATATTAGGCTACCATATAAATGGGTAAATTTTCTTTAAAAACTAAACATAACATTAAAATAACGCAAAATTCTACCCAGCTGCACTTTCAAATGATATAAAAGTAGAATGTTTGCATAACGTTTTTTTTTTAAATGGCAACACATTTTGCCCAATGTGACCTCTGTTTTTGTTGTATATGTATATTTGGCAACATACATTTTGTTTTTCCTCATTTCTATATACTTATATGTGTTCGTACACCTGCATTATCAGTAATTATCAGTATCAATCAGTGTATGACATGTATTTTTAGCAGGAGGATATAGTATGTAAAATTGCAAAATAAATAATCATTCATCAATCAGTACTTTTTACTTGTAATACTAAAAAAAACTAGTTTTTAGTACATTAAAAAACAAGTACTGTTGTACTTTTACCCAAGTAAAAATTAAAAGCAGTACTATGGAGTAATATTGTGTTAGGGTATCTGTACTTTTACTCAAATA